TTAATCGAGCAAATCGGCAGAGAAATAGGAATTATGCATCGTTGGTAGTTGAGAGAAATAATTTAAAGGCTAAGGTAGAGAATTTACAAGATTTAATTGATAATATTCCAGTTCCAGGAGTATAGTAATTTTTTATAAATAAATTTTAATTTTTCTTATCATTTCACATTCAACTTTATTCAATTTGAATGGCAAGGTTGTCAATAGGGCTCATATTCCCTAAATATACATTATAATATTTGAAGTTAAATTTCAAGTATTGCTTCTTTTGATCATTATAACTTGTAAAATTCCTCTTGTTTTTGGTAAATTGTAGCTGTATTGTATCTTCTTTTATCATCAATTCCCATAAATAAGAAAATATAGAAAGTAAAAAGCGAAAAGTGAATAAAAAAATAAGAAATAAAAAGTGAATAGAGCTTCAACTATCACTCTAAACTGTTCTAGATACCATATTATAGTAGGCCTATTAGAAAAGTTATAAATGGAATAATATATAATTTAATAAATAAAATAATAAATAATAACTATAACAATAAATAGAAAATAAATATAATAAATAAAATAATAAATAATAACTATAACAATAAATAGAAAATAAATATAATAAACAATAAATATTTTAAACTAATTGTTCAATATCTTCTATATCTAATTCACTAATTATTGATGCATTGATGAAACTTGACTTATACAACTGTTGTAACCCAACTTTTTGATAAATTTGATAGATTTGAATAGCTTGTTTCCAAAGTCAAGCAGATTTAGATTCCTCAAAGTAGTAAGTTAATTAAGTACATATATATCGAACAATATTTTTATCATTATTTTCTTTTAGTTGTCCCAAATAATAAAAAGCTTCTAATTTTTGAACTTGTTTAGACCTTTTCTTTCCAAAAGTACAAATTTTGGTCATAATTTGATTCAAAATTTAAATATAATTAGAACCTTGATAAGGAGAGTTCAATTGAACTCGATTCTCTATTTTATGTTCTAAATCATTTTTAATTTGTTCAATAAGATATTTATTTTTCTGTTAATTAATATTTTGTTAACCAGTAGTTAACTCTTCATTTTGATCTTCTTGAATATTTAGTTTCTCAGTAATAGGTTTAATTGGCTGAGAAATTATGTTCCATTCAGTACTATTGATAAATTATCAAATAATGTAGGATAATCAGGAGGAGCTTCAATTGTTTGTTGAATAATACTATCAATTGGACTTGTAGTCTTGACTCCATTTTTATCAATGATAAAGATATTTTGATCAGATATTTCAATAGTATTGTGTGAAATATTATTGTTTTTTCAAATTTGTAAAATTGTTTAAGAGCTTGTATTTCTTCAATTGGTAATTGGCTAAGAAGATTATTGATAGTTTGAGCTTTCATTGTTTGAACAATTGTGATTTAAAAGTCTGTAATAAAATTTGTAAAATTTTAAGAATTTGAAAATTAAAGAAATTTGGAAGAATAAAGTGTAATTATATAGTTTTTAGAGTTGTACAATCTACTGTTTATTTTAATTAATTAATATTGTTTATTTGTGATATTATAATTTGTGGAATAGGTAGTTAAGAA